GGGGGGGTGGGGGTCTTCTAAATACAGAAAGATGCCTGTCTTGAACTCTCTGGAAAGTCCCTTTGACTCACAATGAGGACAGTGGGGAGCAGGAATAGATATCACATCTTCTCTCCCCAACCCACCCACTGCCCGTGGTATTCACACCAGTATCCGTGCCTCCACTGGTATATTTCTTCCCTTTCTCTTTTCTTTCTTAATCTCTCTCTCACTGCCCTTCTCTCCATGTCTCATTCTCTTTCTAGCCTTGCCTCTCTTCCCTTTCACCTACTTAACTCAACATGTACTAAGATTATTCCCAAGTAACTCTCCAGCTCTCCTTCTTAGACTAAAGGAGTTGTCGACCTCTTAGTCAGGACGACATTTGCAAATAAAGACCTGCCCATTTCCCATAGCTAAGAAGTTGTATTAGTTGAGCACCTAGGAAAGGAAGATGACTTTGTGTTTGATGTTGTTCTTGGACAGAGGAGTAAATATGTCGCTCTGAGTCTGCAAGTTTAGTCCAGTGGCCCTCGAATGTTTTCATCATGGAGTGTTCACTGAGTAACTATCAAGCTCTCTGCAGCCAAGCCTCTCCTCTGGCATTACAACAGATTTTCAATGCTGTATAGACGTGAGGCTTGTGTGGGTAGAGGAAGCCAGGTGTCCTGTTTACATGGGCCCCACTAAATATCAGAGCTCTACAGCGGGTTTTCAGAATTCCCCTCTGTCTTCGTCACAGAGTTATCTGGGAGAGGGGGTGATGTGTTCCATGCTAGCTTTGTCCTAAGCAACACTAGTCCAGGTCACTGCCTCCAGGTGACAGCTACCTGTAGGGACTAGGTGAGGGTTACCTTGATACCTCCGAAGAGGCTCTCGTCTACCTCAGAGCTTACAGCTTTGGTCCGATAGCGAGTCCTATTTCTCGACCTGTTGGAAGTGGTAGAAGAGGAGCTCAGGACGCCAGTTGTGCTTAACGGCTGCAAGAAGCAGAAAGATTGAGCCATGAGTGCTGAGTGCCATCTGCACCCTTAGCAAGGTAAACACTTCACCCGCCCATGCCGCAGTGGGTCGGAGTACATGCCGAAAAGCACTGAGGGAAAGCACCTGAGTAAACCTGAAATGTAAGGGACACCTCCACAGAAGCAGAGGGTTCTCTGGGTAGGCACCAGGCACACTAGCTCAGTGAGGAGCATTTCTGTAGTCTCTGAGTTGAAGAAGGCCAAGTCATCATGCCATATGGAAGAATGGAAGAAAGAAATGAGGAGGGAGGATGACCTCATTGTTGGCCCAGTCCCAATTTCCCACAAGGACATTCTTGTGAGGTGACTTGGACTTATCTACCCAGAAGTGTATAATGTTTTCTTTACCTCCAGTCTTCTTAGCCTAAGTTCCAAGCCCCCTTCATAAATGACAGTACTATTTGACCTCCTTCACATCTCCACAATCTTACAAGGTTACAGTGGGGACCACAGGACATTAAAGATAGAAAAGCTTGGCACAGGGTTGGTGCCTAATAATCATGACTAATTGCCAGCTACAATCAGACAAACCAGTGCATAGCATCCACCATATGGCTTTCACTCCTGGGACCCCTGTAGTGTGCACCAATCAGTTTTAACCATCCAGTGCCTTTCTATGTTTGGAGAGTTCCATCTAATGAGTTGAGGAAGACAAGGCTCATTTCTGACCATCAAAGCTAAAGACACCAGATATTTTCCCTCCAAGCCTGAGCAAACCAATCAGATCGCCCAAGCCTGACAAGGAACAGGAAACTAGCGATGCAAGAAGAACGAGGAAATTCTTTCTGGCAAATTCAGCAGTCACAGCCATACCCAGTGATAAGGACACCAGTAGCAGTACTCCATAGCCAAAGCTGCCAGCATTAAGGTCCTCAACAGACCAGTGCTGGGTTGTGATTTTGGCCTTTGTTCTGGCTGCAACTCCTCCCTTTGTTCCCATTTGCCAAGCCTAGTTTCCCAGCCGTGGTGTAAAGTCCATGAGCTTTCAGCTCTCAGAACTGAGTTCTGACTCTGCTGCTTATAACCAGGAACACTGATTAACACAACCTCATTCTCAAAGCTCATCCAGCTTCAGCTCAGTCCCCAGAGGAGAAGTCTGCCTCCAGAAGACGATTTCTGTGAAGACTACAGGACAGCCTCAGGCTTAATACAATTCTCACTTTGCAGGAGCCCACAACTCCTACAGTTCTCTAAGCCGGGATGTCCTGGGGGAATGGGCTACATACATTGGGTCTCCCAAGCCTGGAAATCAGCAGCTGTCAAGGGGACAGGATAGACAGAGAAATGCACTGTGAATGCCAAGTCACTAAACACTGGACAGTGTGTTTCGAAAGCTCTCTGTCATCTGCCATGAGCAGCACCTGTTCCACCTGTATTAGGTTTCACACTAAATTGAGCAATTATTCTCCAGCTGGCTCTGTTCCATACAAGGACCACTGACTACTGTGTGCCCTGTCCCTTACTGCCTGGCACAGCCAGCAACAGGCTTATGGAGGGAACCACCCTTCACAGCCTCAGTCAGGCCCAATAGAACAAAGCAGAAAAGCTCGGATTTATTAAAAGGCAAACATAGCAGCCCCAAGAATGCCTAATAACAGACTCATGGTGAGTGGTTAGCAACTGCTCCCCTTTACACCAAAAATAGAAGAGGAAATGAATAGAAACTGCGATAGGTGGGACTGAGGGTAAGCACTGGGAATAACTGGAGAAGGTGGAAGGAACTGGATCATGAGGGGTGGTATGAGCTCTGTACATAATTAAGGAAAAAGATGACGTCTTGACACATTATAGGAGCTCAGTAGGCATTTGATGGTGAATTAATGAATGAAACCAAGCAAGACAACTTCTTAAGAGCTACAGACCAGATTAGATGGAAGCCTTTCTGGAATACACCTGCCCGAGTCCAGATCACTCCACCACTCCACATTTTCTGTATCACGTATAGCCTGCACTGTGGAAAATAATGTATGTGAAAGGGCTGGAGTACAGATGGAAAGCATTATTATTGTTTTGCATTTGCTTTCCCGTTTCTTTTCAAGGGTTCCTGCAGGATTTCCCCATGTGCTCAGGTGTCCATCAGACTGTGGGTTCCTCAAGGCTGACACCAGACCACTTCTTTCCTACACCCTTGGTACCCAGGTCAGGAGGAAATTATCCAAGAGATACTCGACTGCCTGCACCTTGAAGTCAGAACAAAGGAAGGAAAACAGATGACCACAGAAAAGTAGCCACACTGGGCAGGGCAGAGAAAAGCACTAAGCTCTGGGGTTGGGTGGCTGAGAAAACCTCAATGGGGAATGCTGACTTTGAAGCCACCAGCCATCCACCAGGGTTAGAATAACCATCTTGCCAAGACTAACAAGAAGGATTAGAGAGGTCAATGTGTAAAAATGCTAGAAAAAAAATTAAGAACCAAGCAGAAATGAAAAGTTAGATCCCTCTGGGCCAAAGGCAGTAGCAGAGAGGTTCTGTCAAGAGGTTAAGAGTTGGTTTTATTTCTTGCCTGACCAAATAAATGTCCCCAAGAAGCTGAACAGTGTCTAGAAGGAAGCCTGTCTAGTCCTTGGGGGGTGGGGCGTGGGGGGCAGGCAGCTCTTGAAGAAAAGGAAGAGAGCCTGATTAAAAAAAAAACAAAAAACTAGTATTAATAACTGAGAAGGCAAGAGGGATTAGAGAAGATGATGATTAGGGACAGATAAAGATGCCAGCCCTGCTTTAATATTTTCATCTTGGAGACCTAGCCAACTCCCTTTCCCGTTTTGTGCCCACCCCAGGAGCACAAAAATTTGGCTACTGCTCAGAGTTCTGGGAGAAACTCCAGTACAGTTAGATTAGCTGGTCAATCCGATGATGATTTTGACTTAGTCACTGACATAGGATAACATAACATATTGTTTTAACAAAACCAGATTATTTAAAAAAATGTAAGTATCCCTATAAAAATGTTTGTATGAGGGTACGCTCCCAGAATATGTTACTAAAAGAATGTTGACAAAAATGTTTAATTTCAGGTGAGTGGTATCATCTTAAGATGTTCCTTATATTAAATAATTTTCTGCAATGAGTAGGTAACTCTTTATTAACAACAACAACAACAAAAAAAACTATTTCTATTTGAAAACAAAACCTAGCAGTGGGCCTGAAGCCCCAACTCTGAACACAGGAGAGTCCAGTCCTTTAAAAACTGCAGCATTTTCTGTCCCGGGACCCAGGATGTTCAGATAGAACTGTAACATCTGTTAACTGAATAAAGATGAAGGCATGTCCTTTTCTGGATGTTCTCTCCACCCTGGATCTAGTTCCTCTTATGCATATAGGTTCCCTGCAAGCTAGCAAATTCAGGCTTCAAGCTCTTGACCTGATTCTGCTTCCTTTTACTGTAGGCTTTGGTTACTGAGGTGGGGATGCCCAGGCAGCAGGTGCCTTGTCTTTCACTAAGTAATCCACTCAGTTCACCTCTTTCCTCACATGGAACCAGGATGGCCTTCTGTGGGATGCCATCTGAAGACATCTTAGTCAGTACCGAAGTCCATCCCTCCTTCTTGAGGATATAGTTTATTCCTTGTTTTTAAGAGTCCTAGAGGTCTGCATAATTGTGAATCTCCCCCAACCACCAACTCTCCCCACTCCCCCAAACACTCTAAAAAGCTAGTAAGTAGCACCATACAATATACAGACACACACACACACTCACACATGTACACACACTCACTTGCACACACCTGGTCTTCCAGAAGAGCAGAGATCACTAACTTGACCCGCTGCTTCTCAAAGGTGCCTTTATGCCCAGTCCTGTCCATGAGATTTCAGAAGTGCTCAGTCAGCAGGCCAAACCTCTGCCCTGAGTGGTCCTTGGACAGGGAATCCCTGATCTGGGTGCAGAGAAGCCCACAAGTCTAGCCCAGGTGCAACTCACTGATTAATTTGGCTTAGAAATATGAAAGTTTTAAAAATGGAGAAAAAAAGAACTAACACTTACTGTATGCCCTTAGATGCCAGGTGTGATGCTAGGCCCTCACAGACAGATGTATACCACTGAACCTGAAAGGCACTGAGGAGAGCTTGGAACAATATGCATAATAAGTGCCTAAATGAAAGGGACTCCATTGCAACACCACAGGGAGTCTTCAGAAGAGGAAAACAGCTCTTTTCTGGAGACTTGTTTATAATTAACAAAGCTCTTCTGAAATTTCTACTTGGGGAGACTGCATTTGAACCGGAAAAGCAGTGTCACCTCTGGGCATGAAGTATGTCCACCAGTGCACCCAAGGTGCCACCTTTGCCTTCTGCTGTGCCCCCAGAAATTCTAAGGTTATTTCCAATAACCCAAGGCTCCAACATCTATCCTCTGCCCCTCTCCATTATCCCTCAGGGACCAACACACTCCTCACTGGGGTCCATAGGTCCCCTGTACTATGCCTCCCAGCCTTCCTGACGCTTGCAATCTCAGGGACCCCAAGCTGGACAGATCAGTCCCAATCCCTCTCCAGGGACTATCAAACCTGGTACCCTCTTCATTCAATCATTTACAAATGTTTGCTGAGTAAGTACAGAGTGACCCAAGCCCCAACAACAGAAAAGAAAACTGAGGCTCAAGAATATTATGTGATTTATTTGTTGTCACTCTGCTAGTTCGTGGCAGAACAAGTATCTATAACCTGGTATCTGGCCTCCTCACCAGTGGTTTTTTCCCCATCACATCCTACAGTCCCCAGCCCATGTTGGCCCCAGCCTGATAGAAGGGGAAAAGGCTGAGACATCCCTTTCTCCCCAACTTCCAGGCTCAGCACCACTCCATGCTTTCAATCCCTATCGACCTCGCCCTTAATTCTTCTTTTGGAGGAGGAAGTTCCTTAGGACTTCCCTTGCGTCTTCTAGTGGGGTGTCTGCCCCACTCCTGGGCCTTCCTGACATCCAGACCCTGACCGAACTTCTGCCCTCTCCCAGCTCCCCACTTTCCTGGCTCAGAAATCCGACCCCATTCAGGACCCCTTGAGACGCCACCTAAGGTCCTCCTCCACCACCCGGGACCTCACCATCTCAGCCGCGCCTCCACTGCCTCCGCCGTCCGCACAGCCAGGGAGGCGCTGGGTGTTGACGTGTTGCCATAGCAACCGAGAGCCCGTGTGCCGCGGCCTAGGCCCCACCCTCTGCCCCGCCTCTGCCCTCTGCTGGGGCTGTCCGAGGCGGCTTGCTGGTGGCCACAGGAACCCGAACCCCCTG